GTGTAAATGAACGAATTCCTATGCCCCACAAATAACCCAGAGATGCATTTTAAATAAAAGGACACATTCTACTCATGTAAAAACACACTGATTCCCGGACCATCTGCGGGCTGGATTGAGAAGGCGATTGGGCCGGATCCGGCCCCCGGGCCTTAGTTTGCCTCTCAGCCTTTGGGTCCCCAGATGTTGTTGAACTACAGCTCCCAACACCCCTAGCTAGCAAGGCCAGAGCTCAGGGATGATGGGAGTTGTAGTCCAACAACATCTGGGGACCCACAGGTTGAGAACTGCTGCAACAGTTAAGGAAGTGTCAGAAAAACAGAATAAACTGCCATTAAAGCCCCATTATGCCTAGTGGGGTTTAGTCCATTGGTGAGTGTGTAAGCCTGTGCATACTTACTTGGGAATTAGCCTCACTGATTTCAAAGAGTTTTTTTGGTTTTTTTTACAAGTAAGCATGCATTAAACTGGTGTGTGTGTACATTTATTTATACAATGGTACTTTGGTTCTCAAATGCCCTGGTACTCCTTTATTCCCAAACACTGAAAACCTTTTTTTGAATTTTTTTCAGAAGCCGAATGTCTGATGCGGTTGTCAGCTATTGTTTCCGGGGCGCCTGCACCAATCAGAAGCCGTGCCTTGGTTTTGGAACATTTCAGAGTCAAACGGACTTCCGGAATGGATTACGTTCCAGAACCAAGGTGCCACTGTATTTGTTTTTGCTAATTATTTTGCCTTTCTGTTTTTGAGGCTTTTCCAGTTAATTTGTTTTTGTGAGTGTGGAACCCAGTTCAGCTGCTGATTGATTGATGTGTGACTGTAGAAATGGATTAAAAAAACTATCCAAACAATGACTATCATCAGTACAGGTGGGAAAAAATAATAATTTTAATTTTTATCATCGATAATACTGTCTTATTTATTTTATAGTAAAGTACATTGGTTATTGCTTTCATTTTATGTATCAGTGGTCTCGTTAGATAGAAAAATTCATGTTAAAATGATGTTTTAGGGGTTGTTTTTAAAAGTCTGGAACGGATTAATCCATTTTCTATTACTTTCTATGGGAAAACACACCTTGGTTTTGGAACAACGGACTTCCAGAATGGATTAAGTTTGAGAACCAAGGTACCACTATATTTATATTATTTATATTTATATTATTTTTATTTATATTTATATATGGCTCTGGGAATCGGGGAAGCCCTTCAATATTGTTTCATAGACATAAAGTTACATATTCTTGTTTTGTGTATTTGAGCCTTCATTGCTTTTATGAAGCATTCATGGTTTGCTGAAAGTTTGTAGACCGCTAACCAAAGGGAGTGATGGTGGTTCTTTTTTTTAAAAAAAGCAAAAGTTGGAATTAAAAGCAGAGTAGAAACAATATACATTCAAAGGCTGCCATCTGTTGGTCAAATATATTTCTTACAGGTTACTTGGCACGGTGGAGACATTTTGCATAGGGGGGTTCCACTTTTGCTTTTATTGTTCCATTTTTGTTAGATGAAGGGATGAGATGATGGGAGGGCAATGATAAATAAATAAATAAATAAATAAATAAATAAATAAATAAATAGGTTGATGCTAATAAAGAAGACTTTCTTCTTAACGGGAGGAAAGGGGGCGGTGGGGGAAAGATCTAGACATTGCTTAGATTGTCAGGGCAATGTGTGTGTGTGAGAGATGAAAAGTTTCATCAAACTCTTCATTACACAACTTCTTTGCTGTTGCTACAATCCTCACTTACCAGTGTTTTCACACCATACAGCTCCCTGTTTGTGATCTTTTCGAAACCCGGAGTTAAGAGGAAGTGTGTGGATTCTGGCAATGCAGTAATTAGGTACTTGGCAGTTCTTAATGTGTATTAATAATATTATTATTAATGATAAGCTGGTAAGAAACTGAAATACAGAAACACACCAAAAGATTAAACAAAACATGTGGAAAAATCCAGCAGAGAAGGTGCCCCATCCATGGCAGCATTAAATGCTGGTTATTAACAGGCATAGATTTGAATTTGGGACTAATAATAATAATAATAATAATAATAATAATTTATTATTTATACCCTGCCCATCTTATTTATACCCAGCCGCACTCTGAGCGGCTGCCAACAAAATATTAAAATACAGTAATGCATCAAACATTAAAAGCTTCCCTAAACAAGGCTGCCTTCGGATGTCCAAAAGGTTATTCTTGAGAATTTAGCATCACTACTTCAGATGTCTTCTAAAAGTCTGGTAGTTGTTTTTCTCTTTGACATCTAGTGGGAGGGTGTTCCACAGGGCAGGCACCACCACCGAGAAGGCCCTCTGCCTGGTTCCCTGTAACCTCACTTCTTGCAGTGAGGGAACCGCCAGAAGACCCTCAGCGTTGGACCTCAGCATCCGGGCAGAATGATGGGGGTGGAGACGCTCCTTCAGGTATACTGGACCGAGGCCATTTAGGGCTTTAAAGGTCAGCACCAACACTTTGAATTGTGCTCAGAAATGTACTGGGAGCCAATGTAGGTCTTTCAAGACCGGTGTTAGGTGGTCTCGGCGGCCGCTCCCAGTCACCAGTCTAGCTGCCACATTCTGTATTAGTTGTAGTTTCTGGGTCACCTTCAAAGGTAGCCCCACACAGAGCGCATTGCAGTAGTCCAAGCAAGAGATAACCAGAGCATGCACCACTCTGGTGAGGCAGTCCGTGTGCAGGTAGGGTCTCAGCCTGCGTACCAGATGGAGCTGATAAACAGCTGCCCTGGACACAGAATTGACCTGCGCCTCCATGGACAGCTGCGAGTCCAAAATGACTCCCAGGCTGTGCACCTGGTCCTTCAGGGGCACAGTTACCCCATTCAGGACCAGGGAGTCCTCCACACCTGCCCACCTCCTGTCCCCCCAAAACAGTACTTCTGTCTTGTCAGGATTCAACCTCAATCTGTTAGCCGCCATCTATCCTCCAACTGCCTCCAGACACTCACACAGGACCTTCACTGCCTTCACTGGTTCTGATTTGAAAGAATCAGACTAGAAAATGGGCTTGCTATTTCTTCTACTGAATTTTAGGTTTAAGGGGAACCTTTTCCTGGAGAGGCAGACAGACAGTCAGAGAACAAGTCAATATTGAATAATCGTCAAATTAAGGGTTGGTTCGGTTCTCACAAGATGCTCACGATAGCAAATTCATGCCAGTCCTGGAGTTTTGAGGTAGTCCAAGTCCCTGCATATAGAGCAGGAAGGGGCTGCAAACTATTTCTCACCTTCTTCACATGCTCTTCTAGATTGGGAAAGAATTGGAGGTGTTTAATAAGAACTGGATTTTGTTTTTGTTTTTTGCTGGTATAATTATGTATCCTTGGAGGCTCAAGATAATGGGCATTGCTATTGATCTTATTCTAATTTTAATTTTATGACGTATACCATCTTACTGTTGTTTTAATGAAAGTGCAATCTATAAATACAGTGGTACCTCGGGTTACAAACACCTCGGTTTACAAAGACTTTGGGTTACAAAGACTTTGGGTTACAGACTCCGCTAACCCGGAAGTAGTACCTCGGGTTAAGAACTTTACCTCAGGATGAGAACAGAAATCGCGCGGCAGCGGGAGGCCCCGTTAACTAAAGTGGTACCTCAGGTTAAGAACGGACCTCCAGAACGAATTAAGTTCATAACCAGAGGTACCACTGTATTCCAATAAATAAACAAACAATGCCAGGACACAGATCTCATGTGCTTTCCCGTTAGGATCCTTTTTATTCTCTTCCTTTCACCTGATCTAATCTATTTTAAGTTGCAGTATTTACAAAGCTGCCCCCCCCCCCGAAGAAACACGTAGTTATCATGCTCACTTTCAGAGTAAACTGTTGTGAAGACACTGCCATTTTATCATCTGCTCACTAGATGGCGCTGGCCTTTGGATGGAGTCAGGAGTTTCCTCCTGCTGTTTTGCTTTTCTTTAAGACTCTGTACACATTGCTGGTTTAAAATGCAGCGAAGTTGTTCCCCTCCCCCCCCCCCCCCCCCGTGTTTCAAGGTGTATTTGCACCTTTCTGTCCACATCAGTATGCTTTGATGTGTTTCCACCTCGCTAGCAGTCTGTCCACACCAATGGGCAGAGAGCAGGCAGGGATGCAAACTGTCTGGTTAGTTTCCTCCTACAGTCAGTGCTGGATTTGGGAAACCACATCAAACCACAACATTTCCAGAAAACTACAGGATAGCTCTGCATCCCAGGTAACATTGTGTCTACACAGATTCAAAAACCACCAGTGGGAGAGAGGGCAAATTTTTTGTCTAGCTTTCTGAGAGGTGTGTCTCCTAGCCTTCTATAAAATTTCTCAAACGCTATGAGTAACTTAAAAGGACTAATGGCATGCAAAATGTAAGGACATTGCACACCTTAAAGGAACAATACAACCACATCTCTAGATGGATTCACCGCCAGTTTGAAACTGCGGTCAGCACCCCACTAAATGGACCAATGGTGTCACTTAGGCTTGTACTGTGCCTATAAGGCACAGGTCTGAGCTGTTTTGCCCTTGTCCTTCCGCTTTCCCTGGAAAACCTGCTCTTTAGTGCTAAATTGGAACAAACGGCAATCCACGGGAAATCTGAAAGCAGCGGGGCAAATGGAAGTGTGAATGAGCCCTTCGTTTCAGGCATCTATCAAGGTTCCCAGTCCTATCTTCAGCTTCTGAGTTTACAGCAAGCATTGCCTGCACCCTCTCAAGCACATCTTTGCAGCTACAAAAGCTTAGAAACATTAAAACATAAACTGAAATGTGTAAGCAGCTGAATTTTGCACCTAATACGACAGCCTGAGTGTATCAGCATTCCCACAGAACCACAATAGATATAAATCAGGCATAGGCAAACTCGGCCCTCCAGATGTTTTGGGACTACAATTCCCACCATCCCTGACCACTGGTCCTGTTAGCTAGGGATGATGGGAGTTGTAGTCCCAAAACATCTGGAGGGCCGAGTTTGCCTGTTCCTGATATAGATGTCCCTGGGCAAATGACAGTGACATTTCCTGATGACTGGACTTCCAGTTACCTTGCCCGCACTCCCCAATCTACATCACTCACAGATTTCTATGAGCCACAGGCAGGGCTTGTATGAACCACAAAATTCATACAAGGAAGGGCTATCACCACAGTCCTAATACAACTCCCACCACCATCCGTGGAATTTCTCGTGATATAAACTGGCCCTGAACAAAGGCACTGAGAAACCAGACCAAGGAAAACAAACAGCCAGGAAAAATGGAATAAACAGATGTTTGTTTTTCAAAATCAAAATGTAGACCATATGAAATAATATAAGAGAAGCATTTTCTGTACATAAATAGGCAATGAAAATAGAAGTTCATTTTAAAAAAAACTGTTTTAAAAAAGTCATTTTGCATTCATAGGACCTAGTGCTAAGATTTCTGAATCTGATTGTTTGGCATTAGTTTACATTCTGCAGCACTGCTTGATTACAAAGAGATATTCCATTTTTTAAATGTCATGATCCTTTCTATTTGTTGCATTTGAGGTGCTGAAAAGACTCAACTGTTGTACCGTTGCTCATAGGGGAGTTCCTGCAGTCCCATGATCATTTTGGTTGCTGGTCTTCAGGGACACAATTAAGGCAACAAAGCCACTTCAGAAAGCTCAGTGGAAGGCTGTGGAATGGATCCAGGACTGTTTAGGAGCAGTGCTTATGCTCAAGACAGTAAATCTAGGGGCCCTTCAGGGTGGTAGGGGATGGAAATTCAGGGGTGCGCCTTCCACCAGCCAGCTTCTTGTAGCAATAATGCAGGCTATGAGGGCTTATTTAAAATGCGACAAACTATGCATGGGGACCAATGAAAGGATTCCTGCATAGTGGGTGCTAAATCTGAAGGCTCTTGCTGCATTCCTTGGTTCAGTCACATCTAAGCTTCTCCATGCAAGCAAATCCTGAGATGTGCAGTGCTCACCTGGAGATTCTGAGGGGCAGCAGAAGTCTTTCAAAAGGTGATGCCCATCAACTCCTGTGTCTTCCCATGGAAGTACTTTTCAGCAGCCTACAAGATGGGACAGTCACACTGGATTGGTGGCTACAGCCTGCAGATACCAGTTAAGATTAGTTGCACTGTTGGTGGCTAGTTCGTGTATTTTATTTACAGTGGTACCTCAGGTTACATATGCTTCAGGTTACATACGCTTCAGGTTACAGACTCCGCTAACCCAGAAACAGTACCTCGGGTTAAGAACTTTGCTTCAGGATGAGAACAGAAATCGTGCAGTAGCGGCGCAGGAGGCCCCATTAGCTAAAGTGGTGCTTCAGGTTAAGAACAGTTTCAGGTTAAGAACAGACCTCCAGAACGAATTAAGTTTTTAACCTGAGGTACCACTGTATTTCGTTACTGTGAAAATTATAGTTCATTTTAAAAAATGTATACTCAGAAGTCAATCAACAAGAATCACTGCTCAAGTATTTCCTTAGGTACTGCAGCCTTAAGTTATATAGATCAAGAAAGAGGGTGCGATTAGGCTGCTGTTGTGGAACATAGCCTACAGAATAATTAGATTTCTGTGTTCAATAGGACTTAACAGTGAGGAAGAAGTACTAGCAGAAGCCAAAGCAAGGCTCTTGTTTAGCACATGAACAACACACTTCTTCTGCATTTTGCATTGGCAAACACAGTTTTAAGGCTGAAATCGGCTACTTGAAGCAGGCTCAGGACTCAGTTCCGGTCCAAAATCAATCCCTGTGTTGACTATCCCAAGGAAAGGTTATGAAAGTGGCAGTATCAAATAAGGCACTGAATATCTCTTAATAGCATTACGGGTATTCTACTGAGAGCAGGAAAAGTGCGTGGGGACAGTCTGCTCGGTTCTCCAGCATTCTTACCAGTCCAACAGCATCAATAGGTTAAAAGCATAATTAATATCCAAAGAACAAACGCAACCCCACTTGGAAAACAATTCCTGCAGAAATGCTCTGAAAAGCTGCAAAGGCATTTGTACAGCAGAACTCTTTTCACTGGAGAGCATCTTCTTTCTTCATATTTGCTTCCTGCATGGTGTCTCCATTTACAGCCGTTCAGTACACAGTGCTCTTATTGTGCCATGTCATAGTAGAAATTGCGCAGCCTGAACTCCACTGCAGAAAATCCTGGCCGATCATCGACGCTGTAAAAGAAAGACATTTCGTTTTTGTTATAGGCACACACATCCTTTGCTCTCTCCTCATTTAAGTCCAGATGGGCAATTTCCAGCCATCATAAGTGGAGATGGGTTTTGACCACATGTGCAGGTAATGCCAGAAAATGTTGCTCCCCAGCAGTGTCAAGAAGGTCCTGAGAGACACTAGGTGGAAGTTTGTAAGGGCAATACAGACATTTAGCCCCTAGTTCTGATAGCAATAAACAGCAAGCTGCTTTATACCAGATGAAGCAAGGGAATAATGGCTATGAGAAGAAATGCAGGTAGTTGAAGTCAAACTGCAATTCCTGGCTGCAGTGTGAATACAGAGTCTATCCCCTCCACAAAGGGGGTGGGAGCTCTCAAGGAGAACTTGTGAGGCTGGGAAGAATAAGCTATTTCTTGACCCTTCCTTGAAGACCACAAGCAGAACTGGATCAGCAGCCAATAATGCTCCTTTGTCTTATACAACTTATCTCAGAGATCTAGATAGGCGTTTCGCAGAAAAGTACTTAAAGGGGCCCCTAGAACACCATCCCCTGGGATTAGTTTGTTCTGGGTTCCCATGTGACAGAGAACATTTGCTAAGTGATCATCATCTAAGTACTCTACTGCAATAATTTAGGGCACTCTCATCACTGAAGGCTCTTCTGTTTGTGAGATGTGCCGAGAACATCACTGTACTTTTGAGGGGTTTTTTTTTTTTTAATACACCCCTATGTATATTTTTAATCAATTTTTTCATGTTGCACAGCTCTTGTAGTCCAGTGCTCTGCTCAACAAGCTTTTGCCAGTCCGTTTCTGGAAAATGCTATGTAGCTGTGCACAGTGGTTATAAGAAAGTTATCTCATCTAAAAGCTATATTGCAATTTGGCTTGCAGGGCATTACTTCTCATTTTCATCAAGAGGGCGTTAAGTAGGGCGACAATGATTGTTAATTCACATTTTATTCCTTTGGCTTGAAATGTTCCTTCAAGGGCAGTTTGCATCTTTTTATTTCATGGTTTAAAATGCAGAAAAAGTGAAGACAGAGTGGGGAGTGAAAAGCGCAAGAAATCCAGTATTTTATCAGAAGAAACACAAATATGATGATGCTCACTCATATGTCCAGCATAATTTCATTAACTCATAGACCTCAGGTGGGCAGTTTTCTGGACATTCCATTCGCTCTCCTCTTTCAATCATCTGAGCAACCTCCCCACCTTTCATACCCTGCAACAGAATGAGAAAGGATTTACTTATTTTTGTCAAACTCAATTATTTAGGGACAAGTGACGCTCTGCAACAACATGGAGTGTAGAGTGCTCCTCTTCCTGGTTCCAGCATCTTTATTCTGCTCGTGCCCACACAACCAAGATCTGTTCCTACCCGCCACAAGTCCATCAGCACTCTGTGCCCACTGAGCATCCTGAATCTGCATTTTGGGTTTTGAGTTGGGTAGGCATATTTGTGCTGAATCCCTGCTATACTAAATTCTGCGCTCAAGTCTAGAGCAGCTTTCTCTTCTATCCCTGGGGACATTTAAAAATAGATTGTTAGTGGGAACCAGGAAGAGACTGATCCAGACGAGATAGTTCTTTTTACATTCAGATATAGCTACATATTTTTCTCTGTCCTCCTGTTCCAGCCACACCATTCACCCTTCCCCTCACTTATCCCTTTATTTCTCCTCTCAATCTATCACTAGTCCATGTCACTGAGTTATTATAGGGCTGTTTGGGGTATCCCGCCCCCGTTTCCCCCCACAATTTTTTAATACTTGAGCATGCATCAGCATGACTCTGAGTCTGATAGTGGTAACATCTTGCGTTCCAGTGGTATGGTTTTGGCTACATAAGCACAAGCACAGGAAGACCTGAATCTGTATTAAAATATGGACATTTAATGAAGGAAAGCAACATATAAAATGTACCTTGTATGGCTTTTGCCCATAGGAAAAAGCCTCCCACATTAAAACACCAAAACTCCAAACATCGCTCTTGCTCGAAAATTTGAAGAAGTTCATGCATTCTGGAGCATACCACTTGACTGGCCATTTCCCATAATGTTCTGCCTACAGTGGTGCCACACATAAAAGAGAATATTAGACTAATAATAATAATAATAATAATAATAATAATTTATTATTTATACCCCGCCCATCTGGCTGGATTTCCCCAGCCACTCTGGGCTGCTTCCAACAAAACACTAAAATACAATATAACACAGCATACAGCAACAAGAGAAAGGAATTATGATTTTGCAGAGTTTCTAAAGTCCACCCTCTTTTGACACCATCAGAGGGGGAAGGTTAGTCACTGGTGGATCTAGTTTTCCCAGTACTGCATCATGTTGTGAGCCGATGATGTCATCAGTGTGTGTGTATGTGTACACTGAGGTGTGGGCAACCTGCTAGAATCTACTGAGCACATATAACATAGCTGTACCTGCAGCCCCCAGGCCCCTGCCTTGCTCAGCTCCCAGCAGTGATGGCTTGCATGTTGTAAATAAAAGTAGTTTCGAGAGTGTGTGTAGCAAAGGAAAGATTCCTTGCAGAGGCATGCCTGCTGCCCTGATCATGTTTTGTGTTGAAGGACAGCTAACAAATTTTAAACTACCATGACGGTGCATGCACATCACAGGAAGCCACAGTGACATCATGAGAAGAAATCACAGTCGAGACAAGTTACAGGGTGAAATAGTACCTTGTAATAATCATTAGAACCAAGGGCTTTGGAAAGTCCAAAGTCACTGATTTTGGCATAATGTTGTGTGACCAGCAGTACGTTTCTCGCAGCTAAATCTCTGTGCACAAAGTTGTTTTCTTCCAAATATTTCATCCCCATGGAAACTTGATGAACCAGCTCAATGATATTCTTTTCTGCGACATCTCTGAAAAACCAGAACTAGTTTACTACTTTAGCAATTTGTAATAAATTTTCATTCCTCATCATTCCATTCCACTTATTTTGTTGGTAATTAACCAGTTGTTCCTGGATTTTACTTGAGTGGAATCCAATGTTACACAAGTAGACCTGCTCTTCTTTTCCTGTCCCTTAAAGTCCCATGAGCTAAAAATTTGTTTCCAAGGGTTAGCAAACTATCCAGAAAATATTTTGACGGCATGTGTCCTTTTGCTTCCGGTCAGAATCAGACCCTTTGCTTTCATGTGAGGGAAATGTGGAGGGGAAACAAATATCTCATAACTAACTAAATACTTATGTTATCTAACTAACTATATACTTATGCTAAATACATTATGTGCTTACACTTTTCAAGAATGAAGGGATCCCACCTCAAAGGGACCCATACTGGAGAACAAACAGTAATGATGCACTCAACTCTTCTGGAGGACATCTTCACCTTTTGACTGAATTTCACAAATGTGGTGGGAAAGTAGAACTTATTTTTTTACAAACCAGTAGTAAATGTGCTCTTGGAAAAAACAAAGCTTTGGAGAACTACTCAGCTAGTGATTAGTCCATCAGTTTTGCCTATTAACACACAATAATTCAATAAATAATACAGACGGCCAATTTACCTGTGTTTTATCAGATATTTATTCAAGGGGCCAAGTTCAGCCATTTCCATTACCAGCATCCAGGACTCGGCCTCACATATGCCTATCATTCGGACAATATATGGGTTATCCAGTTGTTGCATAACATTTGCTTCTCTCAGCAGTTCATCTTTTAAGGAGGGGTCGTTGCTTTCGTTCTTGAGAATTTTCACAGCCACTGTCTTCTTTCCCCTGAAAAGAAACCACCAGGAAGCCTACATTATATGCAGTGCTCAAAGTATTCTTGTCTGTTTGCCATGTGCTCAATCTATCCAGTTTCTGCTTCGAAATGCGGCTGCGTGCAACACCTCAGAGGAGGAACAGGCAAAATTGCATAATTCATGCACTATAAGTCCTTCTAAAGCAAAAGCTATGAAGCAAAATATACGGGCACAAATATGGATGAAGGTTAATTGATTTCTTTCCCACTGATGGGGAAAAGGGAGCATTCTTGGGGGTGGATCGTTGTTGGTGGTATAAGCACTTAAATTGATATATTCTGGTCAAAGGCACAAGTTCTTGTTGTCAAAGAAGAAAAGGAAAGCGCTGCTGTTTGGTGCTTATGTATCAAAACAGGTCAAAGACCCAAAGTTATGAAAACATACTGTATTGTATTCAAGAAGCGTATTTAAAAGGAAATAAACACGACATGAATAGGGCAATGAGCAACACACACACAACGGAACACTGTTAGTCTGTTTCGACAAATGAATCTGTCGAGAACACATCCCAATGGAGTTAGGAGACAGCAAGGTTCTTGTGCCTTTAAAAGCAGGCAGAAATTCAGCAAGTGAAGTCTTTTTTTAGTATGGTAATACAATTATGGGGAAAGCTCCTCTAGTTCACATAAGATGCAGGTCAGACATTTTATTAATTGTGTGTGGCCTGGTTCATCCATCCACCTTACCCCCAACAAAGGATAAAATTTGTACATGATACAAAATGTATACAAATATGTGCCTTCTTTTGTCACTGAGGCAGAGAATCTATGCAAACTAACTACTGATTTTCTTTAGGGAAAACAATGCATGGGATCACACATTAAAAGCTTTCGCTTTTTAAAATTACTGAGTGAAAAGGACTTTAATATACCCTTAACGTTAAAAAGGCCACCCCAAAATAAAACATTGTGGATTGTAGAAAAATAAATCATAGTTATTTTATGGAACATACTCTGGTGCCAAATCATCTTCTCTAACCTGGTGATCTGCAGCAGGCAAGGCTTATGGGAGGCGTTGTCTAAAATATCCAGAGGACAACAGTTGGGGTAGGCTGTGCACATGATGGAGGCACGGCAGCGCCACCCACTTGGCACTGGAAGTGCTTCTGCTTGCTGCAACGGGGTGTAGGTGAGTTCAAGGGAGCTCTGAGATGGTGGTGTCAGTACACACACCTTCGGGATGCTAACCTGGAGCTCCCCCCTGAGCTGGCTGCCATACCCCACTCCATCCTGGACACCTGTACTACTGATACAGGTAAAGGTAAAAGGTAAAGGAACCCTGGATGGTTAAGTCCAGTCAAATGGTGACTATGGGGTTGCAGCGCTCATCTTGCTTTCAGGCCGAGGGAGCTGGCATTTGTCCACAGACAGCTTTCCGGGTCATGTGGCCACCATGACGAAACCACTTCTGGCTCAATGGGACACCGTGACGGAAACCAGAACGCACATAACACCATTTACCTTCCCACCACAGCGGTACCTATTTATCTACTTGTACTGGCGTGCTTTTGAACTGCTAGGTTGGCAGGAGCTGGGACAGAGCAACAGGAGCTCACCCCATCATGGGGATTCGAACTGCCGACCTTCTGATCGGCAAGCCCAAGAGGCTCAGTGGTTTAGACCACAGCACCACCTGCGTCCCTCTACTGATATAAGAAGGCAGGGCAGGTCCTTCTCTCTCTCTCATGGGTTTCTATTGATTGAGGCAAAGGAAGTCTGGTCCAGGGCTTAAGAACAGCAGTATCATCAAAGGAATAGGACAAATAAAATAAAATAAGTCAAGAGGGAAGGATGGTAAGATGACAGCATTTCAAAACTTACTTTTTCATTTCATAGGTGCCTTTTTTCACAGTGCCAAAATTACCAGAACCGAGTTCATGGTCTTCCAGGACCAGTAGATTTCGGTCCAGGGTGACATTTTTAGTTTTTATCTCTTCTGGGTCTGCATATGGACTCTCGTAGACCTCTGTGTCCATGGGCAACCTCTGATCACCTGGGTGTTGAACAGCAGAACAGGTTTAGCTTTTTCTGGCACACAAATGTTTCTGTGCTCCCTGCCTGTCAAATGTTAGTACTCTGCCTGCTTTCTCATCCCTTTCACCTCCTATGTGGTGCAATATGCTAGCAACAATCCCTACCACTATTTGGCAAGCCTCTTTCATTTCCGGACTTCCCTCATTGATATCCAGTTCTGCAGCAAAGACTTTTATGTCAAGTCCTCCTCCCAGACTCAATTTAGCTGCACTTCCATTGCCGACTAACTCCTACCTTATCCCACCTTCAGTTCCCATTTGTCAGCTTTTCTCTCCAATCTCCCCCTGCTGTGCTGCTTAACAGGCACCTGTTTGGCTTTCATCTAAATAATGGCTTTCCTAAAAATTCACACTGGCATCATGGGGTTTTGTACTTTTCTCAACAGAAGGGGTTCTGAGAGGAGCTGGGTTTCACTCAAAATGCTGTGTACCTTTTCAAGTAGCATACTCTCTCACACACCCTTGCTAAACATTGCTAAACTGGAATTTATTTACAGTTTAGAAGAGAAAAGAAATGCCTTTCCATGGGTACCAGCCCTCACCAGTGACAAGGGCTGTACCAAATTGAAACAGGACATTTCTCAGTTTCTCTCTGAATTACCGGGTCAATTGCATGAATTTCTAGTTGCTGTTATTTCTCTCCAGCAATATCAGCATCTGAAAGTAGTGGTACTTAGAATCACCTTACAAATCTTACAATTTCAATTTGTAAACTGCTTGGAGATCCTTTTGATCAAGTCGTTTATGAATTTTCTAAGTCAGTAAGTAAGTACAGATAGCTGCAAAGATGTAGATTGGTGACAAATATACCGTATTTTTCTGTATATAAGACTAGGTTTTTCCGCTGAGTTAAATCTGAATCCCCCAAAATAGGGGGCATCTTATACATGGGGGCGTCTTATAGACGGAAAAATACGGTACTTGTTCTAAATAGGAAAAGCGTTTCCAGGATTTTTTCTTTCTTTCAAAAAAAGGTTTCTGCATTATGAATGGTCACAATTACTCAGGGTTCTATCACTCTCCATGTTTAGTGCCTCAAATATTCTACAGAAAAGTCCGTCCAGTGCAAAATAAGAAGGAAACTTGGGGAACAACTATTATCAAAAGAGAACTGATTTCAATTGCCTACCTTGCTTTACACGTGGTGGCCCATAAGGGTTATCTGAGAAAGCGGCAGATGGTAATGATGTTGTTGATGTTCTAAAAGGTAATCCAGAATCATCATTCCGGACAGGTAAAGGTGGCTGTGGCACACAAACAGATTTTTCCATTAGTACATATTTGGGGTATTAAAGAGAGCATGATAAGAAAAATTAAGCAATGAAAGATGTAGGCAATGAAAGCATGAGTAAAGAAAGCGAGCGAAGCTTACCTAAATCTTCAGATTGTTTCTTGCATATCTGTGTCAGCAAGGTAAGAGACATGCTGCTAAAGCAGAAAAGGATTCTGGCAAATATTTCGGAGAACTTCCTGATGAGGGAATTAACTAATGCAGGCATAGGCAAACTCGGCCCTCCAGATGTTTTGGGACTACAACCCCCATCACCCCTGACCACTGGTCCTGTTAGCTAGGGATGATGGGAGTTGTAGTCCCAAAACATTTGGAGGGCCGAGTTTGCCTATGCCTGAACTAATGGCTTTGTGTTCAAATGAGAACTCAATAGCAAATAAAGTTGGTCTTTTTCAAAAAACCTACATCTGCTTAATCTGGAGCTGCTCAGTCTTATTCTTCCAATCAGTACTATGCTTTTCATGGATTCCCTTTGATGGCATATGCAGCATATAAACAGGTCTCCTGCAAACTCTGAATCGGTAAGCTTGAGAGTGAGCCCAAGTTGACACATTTACCAACATTTGAAATGAAAGTGGCAGACATAGGTTCATCCCACAAACCATTTCCACCCTCTCCAGATGTTTGCTATTGTGCTGAGAACTCACTCATCTATGTCGCTGGCCCTTTTCAGCGTAAGTCAACAAAAGGGCAATACTAAATGACTGAAACACACCTCACATTTTATTCTGTCTGCAACTAGTGCTGACAGTTGGAGGGCACTCAGGTCAAACAGGTAAAATTCTCAGAGTTCTGGTGTCTGGAAAAGTTCTGCCACCTGTATCTGTGTTTACCTAGTTTTCTTCCATTAAAGGTCAATGCATTCTTGAGCCAGGAATACCTGTGGGTAGATTGTGTACAGCAAGCACACTTTGCCAACCTGGTGCCCTCCAGATGTTTTGGTCCACAACTGTCATCAGCCCAGCCAGCATGGCTGTCTTGGCTGGGGCTGATGAGAACTGTAGTCCAAAACATCTGGAAGTCACCAGGTTGCCAAAGGCTGGTGTATGGGGAAAAAATGCATTGTGGGACCCAGCGCCACATCTATGTTTAAAAGCAACATGTACACCCTGGGCCTTTCTGCTGTTAAGGTTGTTGAGCTGATCTTTTAAATATTTACTCTGTAAATTTTGATGGGATTGCAGCGGAATGAGTCCAGGGCTTGTGTCACTCAGTGTAACTTGCAAAGAAACAGAGATCCGGAAAATAATTTTGGTGTTGTCTATCAGCCTTACTCTTGTTTAGATTCCTGCATCTCTACCAATCAATAACACTATTAAAGATGCCTGGGTGAAGAAAAAATGTAGTGTTTAAGATAAGACTGATTTAAAGGGAAGTCATGTCATCAGACAAATCAACTCTATTCTCTCCGCAAAGCAAGCAATTGTATCCTAAACATTTTTACTCAGAAGTAAGTCTCTAAACACTATAGTACAAGTGCACATCTTCTGGAATAACTAAAAAGAGTGCAAGCGTATATTATTTCTTGTGTATCCTGTTAATATATGGAAGTGGGAAATTGTTTCTGAGACACTGGAGCAATATATTTAAAGGGGATAAGTAGTGAGCAAAACATAGATATGAGGTTCCCAACTGACACATATGTTTCATACTTTGGTACTTGCACTTGCTAGGGAAGATGCAAACTCTTGACTTTCAACAAAAAAGAAAAACACCAAGACAGGAACTGTGGAATACCTGTGCTTCCTGTCCTCTCAATATTTTAAAATTTTATCCTAAGCCACGTCTTTTTGCCAACTAAGTAGGGCTAAACCAGTTTAAATGTTTGGAGATTTACTTTTAAATACGATGTTTGTTCATATCAGAATTCATTAGGACTAGTATGAAGGAGACAGACGTGAAAATTCACACAGAGAATTGATCTGACCCAACGTTATGGGAAAGAAGCAGGCATGTGCCAATCTGCTCCACAAATTAGGAAGTATTTTTATTAATATTTTATTTGTAATGTAATATACAAATGGGCGCCATTCATCCATTTGTCCTCAAATAAACCTTTTTCCAGGAGAATTAAGGATTAATTTCAGCTTGCAGCCACTGTGATTGGCTTTTGCTTTTTCCAGCAATCATTGTGTCTAAAATGCATAGGTCTTGGAATTGGGTAGGGTGGGGTGGGGGCAGGAGAGTACATATGCTCAGTGCTAGCTTTCATGTTATTAGCTGGTACAATAGTGGCACTAGCCCCCAAACCTGGGGTGGAGGTAGAAGAACAGAGGGGTGGAATATCTTCTCTAAAGAAGCAGGGACAGTTGTTTTCCACATTTCCCATGTTTCAGAGAGAGAGATAACTCACACAAAAACTAAGATCAAAAACTAAGATTTAAAACAAAACTATAAATATTGTTTCACTGAAACATAAAGGCTGTTTTCAAAGATGCGCACACACATGTGATACTAGCTTATTTTCAACTCCATTCTACCAAACTGATCTCATTATTATTACAGTTATGAATATTATGGCACAGCATGTTGGCAACAAATAAAATGCAATCACTTCTTTTACATAGCTAAATTTGAGCCATGGGTTAATTATATTAGGCCAGAAGTAGAAGCTGAAGAAAGTTGCCAAATGTGCGCAGAGCGTTAGCAGCAAGGCATGGAGCCAAATCATTGAAAAGAGCTGTAAGTGAGCTTCATGAGAGTAAGTCCTTCCACACATTTGCAAATTTACAAAACACCATGTTTATGCACCTTTTTGCTTCCCGGCTTTGGGAAAGTGTATGACTTGATTCTGGTGAAAATTCCACCTGTTGACCAAGTCTAGAAACCGTAAAGGATATCAAAAGCATAAATAAGTGTATCAGAAAAAGTAAGAAATATTTCACACACACATTTATTTTCTTTAGTCATCTACAATAGTGGTTTCCAAACTTTCTACTGAGAATAGGACTTGGTTGCAAACTTTTGCATTTTTAGCTAGGATTCACATACAAGGACCTTCACTTTTGCCCTGTACACATCCTTTATAATATGCACTGCCAGACTGTAAACCAAATATTTCTTTTTTAAAAAAAATGAAAAACACCTTGAAACTCTTCAGCCCAGTTCATCCATGTAAGCATGCCAGTGGTTGCTTCAAACCCAACTCAAAAGAGACTGCTCCACTTTGCAATCTGTTTGTACAATGTATTTGTCCTCCTGCATGCATCCAGGAGTTATCACTGTATCATGCTAAACTGCAACAAGTGAGGGTTTGTATTGTAAAAGATGCTAGAAGCACAGCTGTGTTTCAAGCAACCACCCATGGAGAGAGAAGGGGTGTGACAATTTGAATAAGTGAACAAACTTTTAAAATGCATCTCCATTCAGTCTGAAGTCAATGCTTTGCCTCCTTCAGCCCTGAGACGAACGTTGACAAGAAAAGCTTTATCATACAAGACAGAGCAGGAATTTTCAAAAGGGCTCAGTGCTTGAGACCATGAGTTTTCATTTCTCGTGTTCTGGTTCCTGTCATTCACTCTTCAAATGGCTTTTATGGCCCTCTGTAATGTTCTTGCTTCTATACCAAACGTTCCCGTTATTTTTCCTCCACCCAGTTCTCCTATCTTGCTTTCTCTCACTATCTACTCTAGTCCTTGTCAACACATTCAAATCCCTTGTGTAACCAAATTTTTCGAAGAACAATGATTGCAGAGCAAGCAAATACACGCAGAACATCTTAATTTAAATTATTGTGATTTTATAATTGTATTTTCTCATATCCAAATTTGGACAGAGAATACATCATACACTGTACAAAGTGAAACAAGAGTAGAAGCCAATTGGTGCCACTCCATGGATGCAAGATATAGCTCGGTCAACAGCACAGGAAAGAAGATTTATCTTGGTGGTTCTTCCCAATGCCCTTCCCTAACCTGCTCTGGAAGTTTGGAGTAATTCCCATACTTTCTACTGTGGAACAACACCAACTGGAGTCCACCCACTGCAGACTGGAATACATGATATTTTCACCCCAAAATACTTCTTATGAAGAATTAAAAGCTGGAGCAAAAAAATTAATCCACATAATGTCTAATGCTATTGCATGTAAAACAGACAAATATATCTGAAAATTATAGCAAATGTTCATATATTAAGAAACTCAAAAAGTGAAAATTAACCATCCTTGAACTTTATTTTATTATTAAAAACCACCATAAATGCTTTTCATCAGCACAATTTTCTTACCTTGCTGAAATTAGGCCTGTGATCCGGTGGGGTGAATACGCCTAAGATAATGAGGTACACTAATTACTATTGCTGCTTTTATCAAAATACATTTCTGGGGGGGGGGGGGGAGACAGGAGAAGAACACTCTCAAGGGAATAAATATGCAAACATCAGTGTAGCTGTGGCATAAGAAATGAAATTACTGAACTAACAAGAAATGAACACAGGAATCAGCCTTATACAGACTCAGAGCACAGCTGCACCCAGCTCAGGGTCATCTTGCATCGATTAGCTGTGGCTCCCCAGTGTTTCGGAGAAGGGTCTCTCCCTGGATTGAACATGCCAGGGACTGAACAAGTAACCTTCTGCATGCTCTACCGCTGGGCTATGGCCCTTCCCCAGAGAAGATGGCAAAATACGGGTCTTCCCTGGGGAAAGTGCCGGGACATGGAGCTTTAAAGCACAGACCAGTACCAGCATGACGCAAAAGGAATTTTGGGTGAGCCCCAAGTGACTCTGAGGTTGCAGCAACCTGATAAATATAGTCTTACTCGAAAAAAAGGCTAAGGAGTAAGCCATACACAAATTCAGAGTGGAGTCCCTAAGGCAATTGGATGGCACCTTGTATGCCTTCTTTTGGCAACTTCTGCAGCCAAGCTGGTATCAAACGTATTGCTCTGCTTTCCTTTGGACTAAATCAGCAAGGCTGAGAGGGCGGTCTTGTCATCTGGGAAGCCCAGGACCTCCAGACACACTGCCCAGGCTTGTGCCACCAGGAGGTCCCTTCCGTGCTACAAACACAGCAGTTTGACTTCATTCATGGAGACAGATGGATGCCAGCAACTATCCATGCTATGCTCTGCTGTTATTAAGCCCCAAGACTTGAAAGGGTGTCCCTGATGCAAGGCGCAGCACTAAAAGGGAATTTGGAAGAGATTCCGAGAAAGCCCTGGCCCACTTGCTTAACACAGGGTGTTGCTGCTTTACACATTTGCACTGCTACAGGTAATGTAAGATTGGGCAACCTATGGCTGCAAATCTGTTTGAAACTCTGGAGAACCACTGCGGACAACAATGAGCTAGACTGACCAATGGCCTGACCTCCTTGTCCCTTATACACAGATCAATCATTATGCCAATAAAGGCTAAATGAATGAGTATACACGGATCAATCACTGCAATCATATGGAGAAGTCCTCCTGACAGTCCCACAGTTTTTATATTCTTTCGGCTTCCGCATTTACTAAGACTTTTTGTGTAGCAGCACCAGTAATTTGGGACACTGTTCCTACTGGAATCATACAGGTACCCACAATTCCAATAACCTATCAACCTGCTAAAACCATTTTTTGATTTACCAAGTGTTTTTAGAAAATTTATTGGATTCAGTTATGTATTTTACGCTCTTATAATTTTATGGATGATTTTCATGTACACCACCATGGGGACTCAAATTCTACATTTTAAAAATAAACCCAGTCACTCACCATTTTTCAAGTTAGGATTTGGAACTGGATCTGTGATGATTCTTAGAAGTCCATCTGCTTTGTAGGAATAATGTTCCACTAGCTATCATGAGAAGAAAACAAATAAGAAAGAATAGACTAGAAGGAAGGAGAAATAACAAGCTACTGAACTGCTACAGTGGCTTAGGGCCAGACATTTAGCTAATCATTTCTAGTTAATATGTAAAATCCAGCCACCTGTCCTGCTGCCCTCTATGGGTTCTCTGGTCCTCAGGTTCAAATATTTCATTTTGTTTCCCCACTTCTGAAGCCAATAATTTTATCCCCAGGCAGCTCCACTTTCTCATTAGCCATTAGTCATTAAGTTATCGTATGCACCTGCTCCCCTTAGGTCAATTTTGTGGTGAGCAAAATACTGTAGCGTAGGGGTGGCCAGGAGATTTTACTATGAGCCACAGAAGAATTTATGTGAATGGAGACCTTTGTGAAGAGATTCTGGCTGTGCCCTCTGGAAAAGAGTTCATTTTGCAGGAAGGACACAATCAGGTCACCGATTAGCACTCATTAGCTAAGGATCCCATGCCATACTTCAAACATGACAATGTCCACAGTAGCCCTGTTCACATGTTGCCTGCATGTAGACCATACCTGTTTTGATGATGGTGTGTGGCAGCAATTTTAGCTAAGCCCCCAGGTGTTTTTCCTGCAACAAATCTATCTTGTGTGCACTGCCTGCTGAAAAATTCAAATGCATGACCACTATTCACTTGTAGGGCTTTCCATGTTTGGGGCCCCTGTGCAACTGGGTATCCCGACTTCATGTAGTCCCTATATGAGTAGTGTCTTGTGCACTGGAATGGTTGTTGCAGAATAAGATCAGACGAGAAGGGTGATACTGAAGCCTGGCCCTGCTCTGCAAACACAGATATATCCTACATGTGAGGTGCTGAGTATCTCCACTCAAGAAATGTCATATTTAATTTCCAAACACATATGTTATGTCTTGCTTACAGTGATGCAAAAGCAAGTGGTATGTACTTTGGATTCAAAATTCAGTCCTTATCATGCCTGTGCCACTTCAGAAATTCAAACCCTCCCTCTCCCTCTCTTTCATACAGACAGCCCAATAACAGAGAACAATAGAGTACTATGCAGTATCTTATATGTGCTAGGACTCATTAGGTCTCAACCATGTATTCGAATACCCTCAGCCCTATAACTTATGAATGTTCCTCTGGACATGTGCAGAGCTCATTTATCTCATTAGTTCACAACACGTTATCCATCCTCTCCAACCCACATTAGAATTAAAGAACCAGGTTTACAGAGCAAAAGACTTGATAATTTCCCCCGCTTTTGATCACAGTTGGTAGGACCACTATTATTTGCAAAGTGCAATACTGAACATTTCATTAATGAATACTACTATTATTCATAATAATTGGGAGCCAAGACCGAGGGTGGTTTCCTCAGTTAAAAAGAAGCGGTAATGGAAAATGTTCAACTAACTTGTACATCCTCTTTTGTTGCTTGTATGGAACATGTAAGGAACAACTTGCACACCTCCCCAGCAGAAAGATGTGTATGCTCAAAAAAAGGTCCAAAGTTCACACATTCCCTTAGGGCAGTGATGGCCAAACTTGGCCCTCCAGCTGTTTTGGGACTACAACTCCCATCATCCCTAGCTAACAGGACTAGTGGTCAGGGATGATGGGAACTGTAGTCCCAAAACAGGTGGAGGGCCAAGTTTGGCCATCACTGCCGTAGGGATTTTGCCTTTCCCATGATACACTAGAATTATGAAAACTGAATGTACTGTACAAATCACTCATGCATTTGCTGTTGCTACTCCTTTGTAGAAAACTCACCTGAAAATAATGGCAGACCCTACACACTGACTCAAGCATCATGGATCCAAGCCCAATGTACACTGAACTAATACCAAGTACATGTATAACATCCTGAAAATCTTGAATTCATACTTGTTAACAAAACTGCATTCAAAAAGAGCACATTTCTGCCAGTTTGAGAGCCTTTTGTTATTTGACTCAAAACGGCGTGTGGGGAGGAAATAAAGGCAACAGCAGATGTCTCATAATGCAATCCTAAATTTATATTCCCTTATGGCACATAGTGTTTCAGAGAGGGCATAACAAAAATGGAATTTCACTGTCTTTCTATAACTCTGCTATTTTCATGAATAAATTAGATGATTTGGGATTTCCTACAATTTGCTCAACAACAACCGTAGCCCAAATTAACCTAATTTTTTCTAAGGAAGATCTAAACAGCTCATATTAACCAAAGTAAGCATTATCCTCCCATACTTTTGCCCACAATGGAAAACAGGAAAATATGTGATTTTGCATAACACATTTAATCTATAGACCCACGGCAAAGCAAAACTCCTGTTGTCTACGCTGTCAATATGCAGACATAACAGACAGCTCAGCGAGTGACACTTGACAAACCTGGCAGAGTGTATCAAATTTCTTTCCCTCTGGGATTGAGAGTTTCCCCCTCTTGTCCTTCTCAATACGATAATGTACCACCTTTCCTTCATTGAGCAGACAGAGAGCATAGGATCCCTGATTCTCCTTTTCCCTGATTCTGCAAAGAAAAGAAATAAATAAACAAAGGAACAATTTTCAAACTGCAAAGAGTCATTCTTATGTAAACAAATACGAGGCTAATTCTTCTTCACTGTTATTAGCTGTGTAAAGCTCTCAACATGTTTTCTACGGTCTTCAGAATTACTTTTGTCACCCACAACTCGTCTAATAGCTGCTGGAGACAATAGTGCCGTACTATCCACCCACCCCCAGACCCCAAACTAGTAGCCAAAGTACAGCTGTTTTCGCAACTGAGATTCGACAGACTGAGCAGTATCCAGAAAAACAGCCGTGTTAATTGACTGGTGCAGTTACCTAGTCCATTTAGTAAGGATTATTGGGTTCCTTAATTATCATAATAATCCCAATTATTATAAAATAATAATTACTTCAGAATATTACTCTGTCATAAAACAAATACCTTCCTAGCTCCTTAATATTCCTTGGGAAGTTTTAAATGTTTGATGTTTTATCGTGTTTTTAATATTCGGTTGGGAGCCGCCCAGAGTGGCGGGGCATAAATAATAAATTTATTATTATTATTATTATTAACAGGCACTAACATCTACAAGTTCTCACTTCCCTGCAAGTTACACAAAGGTCCCCCCAAGTGTGGCTTGATTTTACTTTTTTACAGAAAACATCACACCCTTAAAATTCAGGATTTCCATTTTTGTCTACTACAGCAGTCCTTCATTTTAAAAACAACTGGCTTCCAAAGTGAAGGACAGATGTAATGTGGTAGGAAGAGCAAATATATTGGCTTATCATACTTCTTTTATGCCACAGCCTGGGGTGGTAGTGGGGAGAGAGGCAGAACAACTAATGTGATTTTGCCTAGTCCAAGCTACATGGGTGAGTCGGATTTTCCAGTTCCTGAATTACTAGAACACTGTGCACTTCTTGGCCTATCTATAAATAGGTTACGTAGCTGTTAACAGAAATAAAGGCAACCATGCGTTACAAATGTTGTTATTACAGGACATAGTCAGATAAAAGAGGAGAGAACCCCCAAAATATAAAATGTGAATGAAATATGGGATGGGGATTCACTTAATTTGTTCCACCGCAAAGAAATTCACGGCCTTTAATGCCTGTCATGAGCAACAGTGTGGTAGCAACCAAACAGTATTTTCCAGAGCAGTAAATTCTGCTTTTTGAGTAGATAACTTAGGTAAGTTATCTCTGTCTTTATAAAATTTGGGTTTGCACACAGTCAAATCAACAATCTTACCCCAAGATCATTGGGTTTGAATATACTCAACAACCAAAAGGGATTAGTACTTGAGATAATAAAACAGTGGAATGTGCTTGGAACAATTAATGTTTCCAGTATGCTGAAGAACACCACATCACCATTGCCTCTCATAGAAAAATAGTTATAAAGTTGGTTAATAACAGTTAAAGTATAATCCACTGTTAGCTTAACAATGCTGTCTTGAAAAACACTATCCCATATCCATAACAAGGAAAAAGGGGAGTCAATTCAATATTTCATAAATAACTTAGGATGTCTCGGCAAATAAGCCATAAATGCTGCTTCCAGGAAGGCAAGGCCAGATGGAAATATAGATGAGTAAAGATAAACATACTTGGCAAACTTTGGTATTGTTAGAAATAATGACTCTACTACTTAGTCTTCCTACTGCAGTTCAGGTTGTCGGCATTAAGCCTCTAGAAATTGCAAGAAAAACATGTTTACTTACAAAAATTTCCCATTGGTCCTCGTGCCCAGAAGAACACGCTGTTCTGATTCCTCCCGAGTTATTATCCCATGGAACCAAGGCATTCTCAAATGTGCTGTTGTAGCAATCAATTTCTCTAACTGTGGCTTCTGACTAATAATCGCTTGCTCAAGGGCATGGCCCTGCACAGTAGGGGAAAATGGGGGAAAGTTGTAAGAATACAAAATAAGCAGTTCCAGAAGTTGAGCTAGGTGCTGGGCATATCCAGAGTATTTTGCCAGTGTGTGTGTGTGTGTTTGGCAGGTAGGCATGTTTAGCCCAACAACATTTTAAGCTATATTAAGCAAAGGACTTTTTTTCTGTACAGTGGTACCTCGCAAGACGAATGCCTCGCAAGACGAAAAACGCGCAAGACGAAAGAGTTTTCCGTTTTTTGAGTCGTTCCGCAAGACGAATTTCCCTATGGGCTTGCTTCGCAAGACGAAACGTCTTGCGAGTTTGTTTCCTTTTTCTTAAAGCCGCTAAGCCGTTAATAGCCGCTAAGCCGCTAATAGCCGCTAAGCCGCTAATAGCCGTGCTTCGCAAGACGAAAAAACCGCAAGACGAAGAGACTCGCGGAACAGATTAATTTCATCTTGCGAGGCACCACTGTATATCTCATGGGTAGGCAAACTAAGGCCCGGGGGCCGGATCCAGCCCAATCACCTTCTAAATCTGGCCCGCGGACGGTCCAGGAATCAGCGTGTTTTACATGAGTAGAATGTGTGCTTTTTTAAAAAAATGCATCTCTGGGTCATTTGCATCTATCCATCTGCATCTATGCATCTGTGGGGCATAGGAATTCATTCATTTTCTTTCTCCAAAATATAGTCTACCCCCCCCCCCGCAAGGTCTGAGGGACAGTCGACCGGCCCCCTGCTGAAAAAGTTTGCTAACCCCCTGGTATATCTGTTTATTTAAAAACTGACAATTAGTAGTAGAATAGGCTACAATACTTCAAAAGGCACATTTTAGAAGGCAAAAATAAAATGCCAAATACTCCAACAGATTTCATAAAAGACTGGCCCATGCAAGAAAACACAGCACCCTAAAATCTACCCTGTGCTTTTGTGACAGTAAATTTGATCACTACATGGATTTTGAAACTGGAAAACTTACAAGTAGTCTCCACCCCAACCCCTGCCTGAATAGTGCTGGCAAGAATGGTATTTTTCTTTAGCTGGGGAATTTTGTCATTTATGCTCACAGTGCTTGGGTGCCATTGCAAAAGTGTGAGGTTTCACTTCTTTTCTTATTCTCCTTCACACATCTCCATACTCACCAGGTGTCAAATGCAAAACAGAAAAACACAGGAGAACTAAACTTACATGCAAGTTCCACGTTCGTTTCACATAATCCCTAATTAGATTTTCCTTCAAGTCCTCAAACTGGCTTGTTTTTGGTTCCACTCCTGGTGGTCGATGACACGGTTTCTTGAGCAGGCAAACAAGACCATCAACTTCATCCGAGTGGTAGTTAATGAGTTCTATAGGACTCCTGTGGGACTTTCCTCCTGTAATGGCGTAAGAACCACTCATTTCCCTCTCAATGGTGTAATGATAAACTTTACCACCGTGAACCATGGACAAAGCAAAGCTACCCAGATAGTTGCGGCTCTGTCGCAGGAGATACAGTCCATTGCTCAGCCCGCCTTGCATCAGGTAGTCTTCAGCTTCTTCACGTGTGATGTTGCCAAAGAAAAAGCCGAGGTGACTAACAGGATTAGCACTTGCCATTTTTTCCTTTCACTTCTTAGTTGCTTATAGTGATTATTTTGTACCTGTAAGGAAAGAAGAAATTGTCTGAAGAAATGTGACCTCATATTAAAGTATATCACCTTGAGGGCCACCTTTGGGATGCACACAACACAATGAGAGCCCCATATGTAGCCAAAAGGATGCAATGCTAAACTACAGAGAATCTATATTTTGGTGATTCTTTTACCCTTCATTCTGTGAATTGTGTCCATGAAGATGAAGAGCCATGGTTCTGACTATTGTCCTACAAATCTGTTTGCCCTTACTGCCATGAACTCAACTAGACCAGAATCATTTCCCTATTAATAGGTGGGAGAGAATGGGGGGAAATACAGTGGTACCTCAGGTCACAGATGCTTCAGGTTACAGACTCTGCTAACCCAGAAACAGTACCTCATGTTAAGAACTTTGCTTCAGGATGAGAACAGAAATCGTGCTCCAGCGGTGTGGCAGCAGCAGGAGGCCCCATTAGCTAAAGTGGTACCTCAGGTTAAGAACAGTTTCACATTAAGAACGGACCTCCAGAACGAGTTAAGTTCTTAACCCGAGGTACCACTGTATAACCTTCAAATTACCTTTATTGTTTTCTTCTCTTGAGATACCCTTGGTTGTAGGTGAGATTTAATCCTGAAAACACACAAGTTAACTTGGCTAATTCAACACAGGTGGAAGTGATGCTTGGATTATATGGGTGGCATATGAAGAAGTATTCCAGTGAACTAAAGATATTATCATATTGCAGATGTATGGCTGAGATGAGAGCTTGTGGCTCTTCTAAGGCCATGTTCATTGTTGAGGAGATTTGAATCAGGGATTTCCTGGCTCACACGCTTACCCATTGCTCTGCCCATTTCAACAGAAATGAGACTTTTTGCCTATACCACTATATACTTACAGCTCAAACATACATGCTAGGTTTGCTACCACAAGTGCAACTGCCTTTTAAATCTTTCTAACTGCTGCTGAATTACAGGAAAGTCCATGTTTGCTTATCATACTGCAGCCCTGGTCTATGGTTAGACCAAAAAAACCATCTTATAAGCTTTGTTGCTTGTGTTATTCTCCACCCACTACACTAGTTTTTTTTCTAGACTGCAATGCACTTCGATTATGCTTTTAAAAATTATTTTCATGTTACACAGGAAGCCACAAATGTTCAGCTCCTCAGCATTTAAGTATTTGTATCTCTCTAGCCGAAAGCGTCTAACCTGCCTTTCTGTTTCCTTCTGTGGCTAGTGGACATTCAAAAGTTGCCTACTTTAACCAAAAGACACTTTTTAATCAGTGTGCAAGAAAATGAGTGGAAGATAACAGAGACAAGCACAGAACTATTGATCAATGAAACACCTTTCCCTCAGCAAAAACCAAGATATATAAACACTAACTTAAATATATATATAAGGGAAGTAACTGAGAATGAGACATATAAAACAAGTGCCTAGCTTCCAGTCTCTAGTGAAACTGAGAATGAAAGGTACAACGGACCCTCCCTGTTTCCAAAATCAGAACTGTTTCAATGACTGACAGATCAAGAAAGGGTCTGATAATAAAGCGCCAAACATTAAAAAATTCCCGATACAAGACTGCCTTCAGATGTCTTCTAAAAGTTGTGTAGTTCTGTATCTCCTTGATATCTGAAGGGAGGGCGTTCCTCAGGGAGGGCACCACTACCAAGAAGGCCCTCTGCCTGGTTCCCTGTAGCTTCACTTCTCACAGTGAGGGAACCACCAGAAGGCCCTTGGAGCTGGACCTCAGTGTCCGTGCTGAACAACAGGGGTGGAGACGCTCCTTCGGGTATACTGTGTCAAGGCCATTTAGGGCTTTAAAGATGAGGTGGCAGGTAAGTGATTTCTTTCTTTCTTTCCTTTCTTCTCACCTGGCAGGTGAGTTGCCACTGCTACCTTGCTGCTGTTCTGTGAGCTGGAATCTGAAATACCTCTGAGATATGATGCTGTTTCCTTGCCATGTGTATTATGCAGAAAAAGAAATGGGAGCCATTTCTTTTCCTGTAGAAGGTTCCTGGAAAGGAAGCTGATTTCATTCTTTCCCAACAAGCGGCATTTGAAGCTTTGTTCTGCAGTGCAGGCATGAGCTGGCAGTGGCAGCTCAGCTTTTGGCTTTCCTCTGGCTTAATTAGGCAAAAAAAGAAGGAAGGTAAATTTGTCTTTGCCTGCCTCATCCCATATGCCCAGTATTGGGTGTATGGAAAGAGGGTACCATCCCAGGAAGCCCTTGAAATACAGGACCCCTGGCCAAATGACAATCTTCTTTTTAATTCAATAGAAAAAGTTAAATGTTTCTCCAGGAATGTTAGAGCCCCTGAGAATTTCAACGGTATCTCTTTGAATCCCAAGTTGTGTAAAATGATGGAATTTTGGGGGCACATTTTCCATATTACTTAGGTCCAGACAACAGAAGGATCTGCTGGGAGGCATTATCAGACTTGCTGTTGGCACACCATGGGGTGGTAACAAGGATGGGTGTCAAAAAGCTCTATGGGTGCTGCTACCTTGTTGGAAATGGATGCAGGTTTGGATGCTGACAGCACTGTATTATGGGTTCCTGGGCTCTGTTTATGTGTGTAGAGACTAAGGCTTCTCTCATTTTCAAGTGACATTTGAGTTTACCAGCCACTCACTTAACTGAACTGTACAAAAGAAGAAACCCCCCCAACCCCAACCCATGATTTAGCATGATGCAAGGGAAGAAAGCTGAATAGTTATACATCTGCAAGTGTGTGAAAACGTAAAGCTGGTATCTCTAGGAAGTGGTACATGTAAATAAAAAAGGCACTAGAGTCAGAGCTACGACAGTAATGATATGCAAAAATGAAAAGCTCAGCTGTGTAATAAAAAAGTTAAATAGCAATAAGTTGCCCTAAAAATAACTGTCAATCCAATGCCCTGAATGTTTATGTTCAGCATAAATGAGGGGAAAAATATTTAGTATGCCAACATAGCACTTTTCCAGATGGATTTTAACTTTTAGACAAGAGGAGGAATGCAGTTTTCTAAGACAGCTTAGATAGGAATCAAGCTAATCTTTCACACAAAACATGAACTGAATAACACTCAAGTTGATACTTAACAACAAGTGTTGTTAATTAGGAAAAGTCAAATTATCTTCCAGATTTAGGTTCTCTCATCTCCACAAGAGAAGCAATGGGGAAATATATATGAAGGACTTGCACAATAAAATTAAATATCCCAGAAATATCCCATTGTTTTACAACTTGTAAAAAATACAAAACTAGGGCAAGATTGGCAATGTGTTAGTCTGAGATGCTAAGATGGGGAAATGCCAGAGCCCCACTATAGATAAACAAAGGCCAAAATTGCATGAGCCAGTGCACTGAAAAACTTCAAGCAGGGGCAGCACATCCCAGAACTTGATTCTGTCACCCGCCATGCATATCATTTTATGCTGTATTGCTGCTTACACCCCAACCTCTGTACAGGAATGCATGGCTGAAGAGTCATTATGCTTGCTTAGTCTAGTAAAGAAAATAGAGGGGTCACCCTCTTGCCTGGCATCCTATAGTCTTTTGGGGGGCACAGAAACTAAGGGGACAGATGCAGAGCTACAATGAAAGAGGAATAGCAAGGAAACAGAAGTCTTTCTTCAGTATACATATGCATGTCACCTGCCACTAATTGCACATCCGTAATTGGCAGTGACCCACAGCAGTAATGTACCCGAAAAGTCAGTTTGGTAGCATTCGCTTTATTTTTATGTTTATAAAGAAGTAAAGCAATAAATGAGAACATAAGAAGGGCATGCTGGATCAGGCCAATAGCCCATCTAGACCAGCATCCTGGGCTGCATACAAACTACTACTACTACTACTATTATTATTATTATTATTATTATTATTATTATTTACTGCATTTCTATACCACTGTATATCCGGAGGTCTCAGGGCAGTTCACAGAACAAAATCAAAATATAAAACCACAAAATATATAATCAAAATAAAAAGAACAATGCAATAACGCCCCCCCCCCCAAAAAAACACATTTAAAAAGGGCATAGGAGTTCAATCAAATCAAACAAATGCCTGGTTAAAAAAGAACGTTTTTGCCTGGCGCCTAAGGGTGTATAATGAAAGTACCTGGTGAACTTCCCGGGGGGGGGGTCATTTAAAGCACATTTAAACCCAGGACTCTTCTTCCCCACAAGAATCCTGGAAATTGTAGTGCTAGTAATAGTAGCTCTGAAAGGAGGTAACGCCAGATCCCGGGAGTCTTGGGAGAAGTTATGTGGCTCAAATGTATGGTTTGCATGCAACCCTGTTCTCACATTGGCCAGCAAAATGCCCATCAGCAGGAGCTGAGAACAGTATTCTTCCCCAGTTGCTATTCCCAGCGACTGGAATTCAGAAACATACCGTCTCCAGCAGTGGAGGTAGAACAAAGGGACTGGCTTGTATCCATTGAATTTGTCTAATCTTTTAAAATCCATCCAAGTGGATGACCATCACTACCTCGTGGGAGTGAATTCCATGGTTTAACTACGTACTTCTGCCTATTCTGAATATTCCAACGTTCAGCCTTACTGAATGTCTTGAAGTTAAAGTAATTTTTCAAAAGGTAAAAACTTTTCTCTACCCAATTTCTCCATACCATGCTTAATTCTACACACCTCTATCACGTTTGCTCTTACTTGCCGTTTCTCCAAACAAAAAGCCCCAATTGTTGTAACCTGTCCTCATAATGGAACTGCTCTGCCCCTGTGATCTTTTTGGTTGCCTGCCCTTTTCTGAACCTTTCCCAGCTCTGCGGTGTCCTTTCTGAGCGAGGTGGCCAGAACTGTACACTGTACTCCAATTCAGGTTGCACCATAGATGTGTAACATTACTTCAGTGATGTTGGGCTGGAAGAGGTCACTACAAAGGAAGGACATACGCTTGCTGTGTCAAGTGAAAGTAACTCACTAGCAACATTCAGAAAATTATCCTCTTAGAGGTAGCTATGCAAAGACGCTTCTCACCCTGTCCAGATTACAGGTCGATAAATTTACATAAAAGTTAATGATAGATCTAGAAGCCACTGAACTTTTTACCAAATGTTTGAGCTGCAGCTCATAGGCAGGAATTACGCCAATCCAGTACATATCAGAGCAAAGTACAGATTGTGAGAAAATATGCCTTTAAAACAGGCAGAACTGAAACCTGTTTTTGTCTTCCCCTTTTTTCACTTTACCTCCTGCTAATCACAGGCAGAATGACCAGTGGTGAGGGCCAGTGAGGCCCGTGGTCCAAAACAACTGGAGGACATCAAACTTGGGAAGGCTGTGCTGTAGAAGAGTTGGAGAAGGCCTTCTGGTCACCTATTCCAATCCTCTGCTCAGCGTAGAGAATCTAGAGCTTAAGACATCCCCAAAAGATATCTAAGTCTAGTCTCAGCTTTAAGACCTCCAGCACGGGAGAGCCCATCATTCCTCCAGCTAATTGATTTCATTACTGAGCTATTATTTCTGTGAAGATGCCTCTCCTAACATTCAGGCACAACTCTAACCCTCTCGTAACTTAAGCCCATTCAATCTAGTCATGCCCTTTGTCTTCTTCTGTGTCACTAAGAGCCAAAACTATTTGAAAACGTTCTCTCTTGCTCATACTTCACCTGCTTAGTCTTCTCTGGGCTAAACATACCCAACTTCTTCACTCTTTCCTCCTAGGATTTGTTTTACATATCACTCATTTCTTGCCCTCCTCTATCCCGGTTCTGCTTTGTCTATATTCTTAAAACTGCAGTGCACTCATTTTTGTAAGTCACTCTGAGATTCATTTTTCTGAGGGGAAGAGACTAATAAATATAACAGTAACAGTAACAATAGCAACAGCTTGATACAACACTTGAAGCTGACTATGCTCAATGCAAACAAAAAGTTATATTCAAGCCTTTATTGGCTTTAGTCTGCCTATGCTAATTATACTCTGGTCTTACAAGAATCACACTCTTTTTGTCAGTTTTTGAGAAACGCTTCCTGTGCTTCTCTGAAAATGTGTCCCCATGACCATACACATTTTTGCTCAAAGTGCTTCACACAAGTCTAATACAATCACCAAAACTCATAATAAAAATTAGATCTACAACATAAACACTAAGAATTAACTGCTAATTTGAAATATATCAAAAACTGAACACTTCATATAGAATGTCCCAGGTTCAATCCCCAGCTCTCCAGGTGGGATTCTGAATGCCCCCTGCCTGAAATCCTGAAGAGCTTCTGCCTGTCTACTCCGACAATAATCAGCCAGATGGACTGATGGTATGACTCAGTGTAAGGCAGCTCCCTATATCCCTACAAAGCTTACCAACAGTTCCAATTAACAGTATACAATACCTTCACATCCCAAAGTAGCCACAAAGTTGGTGGCATTAGTGCCTAGCACCTGCCATAACATTTATATCTTGACCTTAATGTCCAGAAAGCCCCTTCGGAGTTTTTCTTGCAGCAACTTCCTTGTGAAAACTGTAGAGCAGGACAAGGCAGGTGGAAAGGCAAACACTGCTGTGGTTAAACAAACTTAGGCTAAGTTTTACCACACATGAAAAGCTTAAAACAAATCCTTATTTCCTGATGAATAGCCTTTGGACTATAATGTAACTTAAATAAAAAACTATCTTTAGAAAGATTTTTCCTCCAAAAGCATTTTATTTTAAAAATCCGATTTAAATTTTAAAAAATCCGATTTAAATAAAAAAAATATCTGATATATATATATGATTTTTATCCACCCTGATATGCAGCATTGGCAGAGGTGTGCCTAGGCTCCCTTCCACCCTTGACAAGGAGATGTATGTACATGATGTAATTCAATCATCACAAATGACTTTTGAACTGGGCATTTAACAGCATTCTACTCAAAAGTAAATCCAACCAGGTTCAGTGGAGCTTACTCCTATGAAAGTGGGTACACAGGACTGCAGCCTAAATCTGGCAAGTCAGAGGCAGGAACTTCTGACAATACCTCACTTGCCTTTTCATTACTTCGGTCAAGAAGCCAGCAGAAAGGCAATAACCTGGAGGTTGCACCCCAGTGCATTCTTTACTCAGAAGTAAGCCCTGCTTAACTCAATGGCCCTTGCTCTCTGGGGTAAACTTGCAGTGGCCCACGTGCTGGAAACTGGTCAAGCCGGGAAAGAAACCAGGAAAAAGCGGCTTGGCTACCATAGATTAAGAGCCTCGCCTGATGTTTCTCAGTTACAACATCAGCTGAAAGGCTGCTCTTGGGGCAAGCAGGGGGATCAGAGGGTGGGGAGAAGCCCTCACAGGGACAGGTAAGGGGTTTCTGCAGCTGCTGAGACAGCCCATACCAGCATTCAGATTCCTCAGCTGAAGTTCCAAGAGAGGCACAATTTTTGCACCTTCCTCCTGGCCTGCACCCTTGGCAAAGACCAACCTTACCAACCCCTAAGTACTACTCTGAGCATTGCACACCCAAACTTTGGCCTTGTTCAGAACTTGGATGAATGCATGAGGCTCAAAGTAAGACTGTGTGTGCTCGGCCTTCACGTGTTCAGTATAAGGTTTGAAACAGCCCCATGTGTACGACTGTAAATGCAGCAGGCACTTTCTGTGCAGTTGGGAAACTGGCACGTTTTGCATGCACAGGTGCTCTTTTTAATCCTGTGCAATGAATGTATGGTCAAACATACGCGATCCCACTTCCACATCCTTGACTACTATCTGAAAGGGGTTCCTATCACTGGCACTCACTTCAAGATCTGTTGTATTTAAATTCTTTTTTACTGTAAGCTGCCCAGGGAATTGTAAATAAATAAAATGTCCTCCACTCAGTGAAGTGGCTTTAATTCTCAGATTTCCTCTGCTGCCATATAATCTCTTCAGCTGCTAGCACAGTTCATTGAACTTATTCTTTACAGTGTTTTGACAGGGTCCATACACTAGGAATGCAATAGGATGTGGGGCAATGATAGGAAAATCTGGCAAAAGTTGAGCAGAACTGTTAATACTATTCCGTGCAACCCCAATCTCTGAACAGCAAGCGACTCCAGGGGTTCCAATGTTTACTCAATTTCAATGTTGAATCAATTTCAAACAAAAAGTCTAGATTGGACATTTCAAAGCTATTGCTCACTGTAGAGGCCTGAGCGGGGTTTCCTAGTTCCATCTTCCATGGTTACTGTTGATCATCCAGATCTTTGTGTATCTGTATCTGGGGGAAGGGCTAATACTACCAGTGAGGATGGGTTAAACATGCCTTCAGTCAAATTCAGAATCTCCTGTTTTAAAGTTTAAAACTCACAATATCAAGAGATCTGGTCACAGATCTCTTATGTCAGGTGTGTGGTCTGGTCCTCAGATCCATGGAGGAAAGTGTTTTCTCCTAGATGGAAAGCTGTAGGTTCTACAAACCAAAGGTAAACCATATTTATAGCAATGGAATTGAATGGAGTCATATTGACAGCAGTGGAGGTGAACTTTACTTAAGCTCCATATATTTCAATAGGGTTTACCGGCTAATAATTTTTGCTGGATTTGTGCCAGCTGTTCTGTTCCCCTGTCTTTCTGCTTTCAAACTGTACCTTTCTTGTCAATGCTAGTAGACAACCATGTGGAATATTATGTAGAAAGGTGCTGTATCTCCTTAACCCAAATCAATTATTAAATGAGACATCTCTGGTTGAGTACCAGCCACATAACTATCAGATTTGTTCATCTGTGGATCTATAATGTAACATATCTGAAACTTGCTGTGCTATATTTCACTCATGCTTGTGTCTAGACCTCTAGGAAATTTTGTTTAGGGGAGTATTTTCTGTAGAGCCCTATAGTACAGTGGATGCGAACTTAATTCGTCCCGGGGGTCCATACTTACCCCGAAAAGTCCATATCCGGAGACGCCGATTCTGCATGCGTGTGGCATGATAGAGTGCTTCAGCGCATGCATGTGCAGCAAAACCTGGAAGTATACACTTCCAGGGTTGCTGCGTTCGTACCTCGAAATTACTTTACCCAAAGGTAATATAACCCGAGGTACCACTGTATATAGTTAGCAATCCTACTAGAAAGTATGCTAAATACCTTTATTAAGGTTTGTAAATGCAGTGTTTAAAATGTTTATGTACTTACTGTTTTAAATTGTGTAATTTTATAATAAGTATCTTCCTAGTACAATGTTAATTCTATCCCTTCCTTTCAACATTGTTCCCTTTATCTCTGGGATTCATGCCAGCTTAAACTAAATAGCTGTCTCATTATTTTTTTTCTAACGTGGCGCTGGATAAATTTTACAATACTTCTATCACAATGGAACAAAAGTCATTCTGTTTTGCAAAAAACACAAGTGAAAGCTTATTAATTTCTTGCCAGTCTTTTTTCTTTAACAATCAGTATTAAAGGTTTCCCTCCTCCTTTCTTTCTGCCGTTCCTGCTGTTCTTGTAACTTGTTACGTGCATTACGGCCACTCTTTACATTGCAACTTTTACAGATGGAGAAGTGAATCCTGTAACTGGCCCTTTCGGTTTTGAAAAGCAGATTACAATAAATACAAGAAAGCCCATTAGAACAGAACTAGGCACCTCCTGTTGAAGTGACTATCTATCTATCTAATCTCCAATGATGTTATTTACCTGTTTATTATGCTTGTATCTCAAACTCCCGCTGGAAAGCTCAGAAGAGTTCACTCGGGTTTCCTGGTAAGTAACTTGTCCAGGTTCTGGCCAAGCTAAGACTGACTTGGGAGGGGCAAATAACCTACGTTGTTAAATGCAGAATACTTGCTCCTCCCATCAGAAGTGTTCTAATTCTTGAGCTCAGTTTTTATTTTGACAAGGAATAAAATAATACTCTTTAAACATATTCACCATCATTCAACAAGAAAGATCTACAAGCAGAAACAAGATTTCTGCACACTGATTTCTATCTTTTCGGATTGGAAATCATAAACAGGATAATGCACATATGCACTGTACTGTTCAGGCAAGACTTAATTGCTAGATGTCTCTCTTGGTGAAAACTGGGATTTACAATCCCATCTGGGACGTCTAGCTACATTCTATCTTTTATTCGTTTGTTGAAGACATTTATATATCACTTAATTGTTTGCATTTCATGGCAGTGTACATAAAAACAATCTACAGAAAACAAATGCATGACAAATACAGGATAATAAAACATTAAAACTTTACCATAAAACCTGGTCTGCTGGAAGAAGATAGACTTCGTCATGCACCTGAAGCTAGAAAGGAGTGTGCCTGTCTAATTTCACCTGGGAGGGTGTGCCACAGGCTTGGACACAGCACACTGAATGCACATCTAGTAGTTATGAGCTGTGCCTCTAAATCATTGGAAACCACCAACAGAGATTCTTGCATAGATCTTGGTAATTGGGCCAGGATATAAAAGATCAGGCAGTTCTTAAGATCTACTGGACCCTTATTGTGGAGGGCCTTGTATATTGATACGAGAACTTTGAATCTGGCTACCAGTAATGCATGAGCAGCTAGTGCAAGCTTTTAAGCACTGGAGCTGTGTGCTGGCCATGGTCTGTCTCCACCAGCAGGCTAGCCACGGCATTTTGCACCAGTTGTAGCTTCTGTACTAGGTGCAAGGGTAACCCTGTATAGAGCACATTGCAACCATCAAGTCCTAAGGTTTACTTATATATTTTATTATTGTATTTATAAAAAGCAGCCCAGTAATATCACTGTATTTTTCCATGTATAAGACGAGGTTTTTTGCTCTAAAAAAATGGGGGTCGTCTTGCACACGGAACATGGGCATCTGGGGGAATTTTAAAAAATATTTAAGCATATGTCTGGGATTTTGGCTTGGGCAGACTGAGGCGGTCCCTCCTGCTACCATCCCACCTTTCTCCCCCCCCCCCCCCGGGCTGCATGCTGCCAACTGGCTCGCCTCCTGAAGCCCCCACTGGCTCGACCACCGGATCGAGAGCAGCCGCCGCTGCCGCCACTGAGAGCTGCTTCAGCTACCTCTCCTTGCCCTTCTTTCCTTTTTTTCCTCTTCCCCTCTCAAACTCCCACCCTGCCCCCAGCCTGCTCATCACCTTCCTCAGCTCAGTTTGCTCGACGGCATGGCCTGACGCAGAGTGGCCGCTGCCTTCCCCCGGCTCTTCCTTGGCATCTTGCTTGGGAGCCTGCTTCCCCACAGCAGCAGCTACCACCGAGGGGGAGCATGTGGAGCCCCCGTCACTGCCTTTGCTTCTGCACCACGGTGCACTGCATGCACCTCATGCTGGAAACTTTGAGGGCAATTGCCCCCCAAAAGATCAACAACTTGCCACCACCAATCATCCAGATTTTCACTTCTATTTTAAGGTTTCATTTTCTTAATTTTGGGTTAAAAAAATAGGGGTCGTCTTATACATGGGGGCATCTTATACATGGAAAAATACTTCCAGAATAAAAGCTGCTAGCAAAGAGAAAAAACAAAGCCAGTAGTTCAGAACACTAAACATACTGGTAGTTTGTTAAAAAAAAGGACTGGAAGACTAAACCTGGTGCCCAAATGGCCTTGAAGAAAATACAGTGGTACCTCGCATTACAGACGCTTCAGGTTACAGACTCTGCTAATCCAGAAATAGTACCTTGGGTTAAGAAATTTGCTTCAGGATGAGCACAGAAATTGTGCGGTGGTGGTGCGGTGGCAGCGGGAGGCCCCATTAGCTAAAGTGGTACCTCAGGTTAAGAACAGTTTCAGGTTAAGAACGGACCTCCAGAACGAATTAAGTTCTTAACCCAAGGTACCACTGTACTGTGGCCCTCCTGAGGGAGCACATTCTCCCTGGTACCACCTGTTTCACTTCATGGGTCCTCTGAAGAGGATCTTAAGGTCTGTATAAGTATATATGGGAATAGATGATCTTTCAGCTATCCTGGTCCCAGCCTGTTAAGCGCTTTAAATGTTAAAACCAAGACAATGAAATGGGTCCAGAAAGACTGGGAGCCTGCTTGGCTGTTAAAACACTGTTGCGATATGTTGAAATTGCCCGCTCCCAGTTAACAATTTTGCAGCACTGATTTGAACCAATTGGACCAATGCAGTTCCATGATGCTATATTTTAGTTGCATTAGACTAAATAATTGTAGGTCACTTTGAGTTAACATATTGTTTTTTAAAAAGTGACCAATATGTCCAATAAATAAAAACATACAGAAATAAGGGCATGGCTGAATTAGATTGTTTATTTCTTCTCTTCACACAAGAAGCACAAAGGGGGAGGGGGAGTCAGCCCTGAAAATATTTCCCCGTTTATCACACTGACTGCATGTAGCAGAAGTTGAAAGTTTCATAATGGAGTGTGGCGAACCCAAATGCACCTTCTAAAAATGATGCATTTGATGTTTCACTTCAAGCAAACTTCTACAATGTAGAAACAAACATGATGTTCCTTTGCCCCAGTAGTGAAACCTGAATTCTGTTTTGCATTCAACAGACTCAACCAAATTAAAGCCTGCACAAGAGTGTTACAAAAGACAGGCTTGGGTTCCCATCCCCATGTCCAGCTCCCCTTCCCTTTCCCCCCAAACTTTACCATACTGTTATTAAAATAAAAATATTCATGCTTCTTTCAAAATGAATAAACTGCAATATTGTTGAGACCGAAACCAAGTGAAGAAATTATGAAATCCTTCCAAGCATTTAGTTTTGTGTTGTTTTTTTGCTCAGATTTTGCTATAGGGAACTACAAGGAGGAACAACCAAAAAAGGAATGACCACAGACTTGCACAGAGAAAAAGGAATGGCTGCAAGAGGGGTTTTTTTTGCTTTGTTTTTTGTAGCATGTGTCCTTATTGCTTTTATTTATTATTTATTGAATTTACATACCGCCCTATACCCGGAGGTCTCAGGGCAGTTCACAGAACAAAATAAAAATATAAAACCACAATACATATAATCAAAATAACAACCCAATAACACTCCCCCCCAAAAGAACATTTTAAAAGGGCATAGGATGTAAATCGGATCAACTAAAGGCCTGGTTAAAAAGGTTTGGGTAGGTAGCCGTGTTGGTCTGACGCAGTCAAAATAATTAAAAAATTGTCCAGTAGCACCTTAGAGACCAACTAAGTTTGTTCTGGGTATAAGCTTTCATGTACATGCACACTTCTTCAGACGTTTTTGCCTGGCACCTAAAGGTGTATAATGAACACACCAGGCGAACTTCCCTGGGAAGAGCATTCAACAGACGTGGAGCCACTGCAGAGAAGGCCCTTTTTCATGTTGCCACCCTCCAGACCTCTCGAAGAAGCACACGAAGAAGGGCCTCAGAAGATGATCTCAGAGTCTGGGTAGGTTCATAAGGAAAGAGGCGGTTCTTGAGGTATTGCAGTCCTGAGCAGTTTAAGGCCTTATAGGTCAAAACCAGCACTTTGAATCGGGCCCAGAAACTAAATGGTATCCAGCGCAGTCGGACCAGGATCAGTGTAATATGCTCAAACCGTCTTGCTCCAGTGAGCAACCTGGCAGCTGAATTCCGCAGTTTCTGAACTGTCTTCAGAGGCCCTTTGCAGTAATCTGACCTTGAGGTTACCAGAGCATAGTCAACAGTAGTTAGGCTATCCCTGTCCAGATAGGGGCTACCTATCGGAAGGTTGGCGGTTCGAATCCCCGTGATGGGGTGAGTTCCCGTTGCTCTGTCCGAGCTCCTGCCAACCTAGCACGCCAGTGCAGGAAGATAAACAGGTACTGCTGTGGCGGGAAGGTAAAATGTGTTTCTGTGTGCTCTGGTTTCTATCACAGTGTCCCGTTGTACCAGAAGTGGTTTAGTCATGCTGCCCACATGACCTGGAAAGCTGTCTGTGGACAAATGCCGCTGAAGCGAGATGACCCCTGCAACCCCATAGTCACCTCTTACTGTACTTTACTGTTCAGGGGTCCATTACCTTTTTTCACCCTGGTCCAATGTAATGCCGGGGTGCCAAATCACCCTGCCATTCATGCACTGCCCCTTGTGGCTTTCTTTCTGGCCCGATTAATGCCTGCTGGGTATGGGCTCTTGGGTCCAGGGGTCCTTTACCTTTTTACCAGTACGTTTCCAAGCACAATTCAAAGTGTTGGTGCTGACCTTTCAAGCCCTAAATGGCCTCGGCCCAGTATACCTGAAGGAGCGTCTCCACCCCCATCATTCAGCCCGGATGCTGAGATCCAGCACCGAAGGCCTTCTGGCAGTTCCCTCCCTGTGAGGAGTGAGGTTACAGGGAACCAGGCAGAGGGCCTTCTCAGTGGTGGCACCCGTCCTGTCGAACGCCCTTCCATCAGATGTCAAGGAAATAAACAACTATCTGACTTTTAGAAGACATCTGAAGGCAGCCCTGTTTAGGGAAGTTTTTAATGTTTGATGTTTTATTCTGTTTTTAATATTCTGTTGGCTGCCACCCAGAGTACCAGAGTAATAATAATAAATAATTATTATTATTACTTTTACTTATGGCGGTGGGGGGGGGGGAGAGAGAGAGATGTACCACTTCACTCTTGCCCCCCTTCCCCACCCCAGCTCTTTCCCGCGTGAATTTCTTCAGCCAAGCGACCCCCTCAGGCAGGGCCGGATTTAGGTTTGATGAGGCCCTAAGCTACTGAAGGTAATGGGGCTCTTTATATGTCCAGCTGTCCTTTCTCAACAACAAATTGTTGCTTTTTGTGTGTGTTGAATATATGGTGCTTTATGGACCTCGTAGGTATCTAAAGCCATTTGCACACGCAGAATGTAGGCACCCTATACAGTGGTACCTCGGGTTACAGACGCTTCAGGTTACATACGCTTCCGGTTACAGACTCCGCTAACCCAGAAATACTGCTTCAGGTTAAGAACTTTGCTTCAGGATGAGAACAGAAATCGTGAGGCGGCAGTGGTAGGCCCCATTAGCTAAAGTGGTACCTCAGGTTAAGAACAGTTTCAGGTTAAGAACGGACGTCTAGAACGAATTAAGTACTTAACCTGAGGTATATCTAGAAATGAGCAAACCATTGATGTTCTAGGCTAGGAGGCAGGGCCCATTACTTACATCACAGGAGCCTACACAACACAAAACACTGTTGTTTTGTGTAGGTTTTATTTTATTTATTATCTCATATTTTGGAAATGTACACCCAGGGTTTTAAATTTTATTGGGGCCTCAGCTATAGCTAGTTTAGCTTATACGTAAACCCGGCACTGCCCTCAGGCCCCAAGCCGTGGCTCTCTTCGTTCCCATCCTCCCCCGTCCCGTCCCCCCGTCCCTCCTTCAACTGAGGGAGAAGAAGCGTCTCTTACCTGAGGGGAATGGGCGGGAAAACTGACGTGACGTCTCTGTCTCTCCTCAGGAGCCGCGGCCTTCCCAGGCCGGGGGCTAGGGGTGAGAGGATAGAAGAGAGCGCGGGCTTGGAGACCGGCCGCCGGCCACCTGCCTGGGCGAGGCTCGACCCGCAAGCCGCCGAGCCTTCTTCCTCGCTTGTCGCGCCCTTTCGCCGAAGCAGCAGCCCGAGTGTCCGCGGCGAAGAAGGCCGGCCTGGGCTCGGCGGTCTCTCGCGGGCCACGCCTGCCGGGCCCCGCCGAAGGAGCCCCGGGTCCGTTCAGGATGACTGGAGCGCCCGCTTCCTCATTTTCGAGTTTCCTCAGCGGCTGGGTTTCGGCAGAGCGGCACTTCCTCGTCGGCGCCAAGGCCAGCTGCCTTCATTTGCTTAAGGGCGGTTTAACGGGGGGCGGGGGACGCGGTGTTTGGGGCTTTCGGTACCCCGAGTGGGGCGGAGGCGCTGGGGAAGATGGGACCCGACCCGGTTGCCGCTTCCCCGGCGCCTCTGCGCTCGGCAGTATTCTCCCCTTCCCTGCCCTCGCTTTTATTTCCATGCCAAGTAAAAGCGCAGGTTCTGCTTTTTCGGCGCACGCCGTAGCGATTGGCTCCTGCCTAGCAGCGGGGGTTGGGCTAGATGACCCCTGGGGTCCCCTTCCTAACTCTGTGACTCTATGATTTCTCCTGAAATCTTGTGCTTCTTAACGTTGAAGTCATGGAGTGGGTTGGGGCGTGCAGCTGCACTCCCCTAAATCAAGTGAATAAATAAAAATACTTAACTAAAAGTGGATACAGTGATACCTCGAGTTACATACGCTTCAGGTTACATAGGCTTCAGGTCACAGACTCCGCTAACCCAGAAATAGTACCTCGGGTTAAGAACTTTGCTTCAGGATGAGAACAGAAATTGTGCGGTGGCAGCAGGAGGCCCCATTAGCTAAAGTGGTGCTTCAGGTTAAGAACAGTTTCAGGTTAAGAACGGACCTCCGGAACGAATTAAATACTTAACCCAAGGTACCACTGTACATATTTTAAAAATATTTATGCTTTTCAAATTCATACATTTCACTAATTTTACAATTTTATTTTCCTTCGTTAAAATAACAGGCGATCCCGAAAAGCCTTTTCCCTACGTCCTGCTACACAAAACAATTCTGTAAGGAAACAGGGTGGATTGCCCTGCCATTTTCATGGATCACTCCAGAAAAATATATGGGCCTCCCCAAGGCTGGGCAGATCTCAACATGACAGCGAGGCACTGTATTTATCTGGTGGTGTGTCTTCTAGTAAATGTTGGAAGTCTTTTATAAAAAATGTTGGCACTGCAGGATGGCTGGAGCAAGTAGGTAAAATCAACACTTCGCCTGGCCAAGGGAACGGGAATAGTAAAAGCAATATAACAAAACATCTAATCTTACAATCATTTTAACATTTAAACTGACTCCCTTCCCCCTCTTTCTGCAGTTCCTTGAATTCATTTTGTTCATATGCAGCCTGTAGAATATTCTCCTTCTGGTGATAGTCACTAGTATATGCCCTGGAGCATACCAGGAGAGTTTTAGAATTAAAAAAAAGAAGAAGTGTTCTTTTTTCAAAAGGGATGTCTGTCAGTTAGACTGAGTATGCCTAAGCCCTTTGGTGGGCCAAAAGCAGCACTCTTGCATGTGACCCGGTGACATCACTGTGGATTTCCATGCCTGTAACATGTGAACATCCTTGGGTCTTACCTCCTTGGATACCCATATCTGAATGGAGGAAGTAGGCAGATGAGTTGGAAGTATATACATATGCAGTTGCTCCTGACAATACTGGGATGCAGGTGATCCTGAGGTCTAAACCACTGAGCCTAGGGCTTGCCGATCAGAAGGTCGGCGATTCAAATCCCCGTGACGGGGTGAGCTCCCGTTGCTCGGTCCCTGCTCCTCCCAACCTAGCAGTTCGAAAGCACATCAAAGTGCAAGTAGATAAATAGGTACTGCTCCGGCGGGAAGGTAAACGATGTTTCCATGTGCTGCTCTGGTTCGCCAGAAGCAGCTTCGTCATGCTGGCCACATGACCCAGAAGCTGTACGCCGCTCCCTCGGCCAATAAAGCGAGATGAGCGCCGCAACCTCAGAGTCGTCCACAACTGGACCTAACGGTCAGGGATCCCTTTACATATGCAGTTGCTCCTGATTATACTGGGTTGACCTATCACACTGTGAGACCACCTCACACTCCTCATGTTGTTGGACTCAGCACTTGCCATCAGTCCCAGCCAGTTACGGATGATGGGGGTTAGAGTCGTACATCCCGGATCTGGAAATTAGGAGAACACACACACACACACCCTTTGGTTGAGTATATTAGATTGTTTATAGTTAAAATGTGCCTGCCAAAGCATTATATCTTCATGAGTGGCCTCATCCATTTTGCTATCTATGTGGCAGCTTCCTTTGCCTGCATGATAGATAATTGAGGATAGCACAACCTTTCAGATTTTCAAGGAAGTAATGGGGGGGGCACTGTATTGTTAATTTGGCAATTGTCCATGCATATATATGTGCTTTCTAGCTAACCTCAGCCACAACAGCAAAGAACATTGCTCCACGCTTCAGCTACTCTTGGAAATTAAGTTTTAGTAGGTATGCTACCCCAGCCGCAGCGATTTCCCATAATGCCAGGGCATTCCCAGCCGCTCCTTCTGTGCAAAGGTGTGAGTGAGGGAAAAGGTGGATTAGGTTGTGCAAGAACTAAGGACCTGCCTTTTCCAAATTTCCCAATAGGCAGAATTCCCATCCAGCAGGTTGAGCTGCTTTCTTTCTCCCTTGGATATTGTGAAATAATTAGTAATTTGAAAAGTTAAGAGTGCCACAAGCAGGATAAATCTACAGTGCTGGAAATGAACTGTTTGGGATGAAGAGACTGAGACTGTATCCCTATGGGGGTATTATTTTACACAATGAGTAGCTCAGATCTGTTTATTCCATGTGCATGCAGGTGCAAGTATGTCCACAGATGTTTTAACTGTTCTGCTTCTGAATTGTAAGCCAATATTTCCCATATACACTAGTGGGTGTTCTTGATGGGATGTATCTATGTGGCATATGCATGTCCCATACATTCAATTACATACCTACCCTCCATTACCATTAAAAAAACAACAGGCATGCATGTACACACTTTCACATCCCCAGGAATTGTGCAAGAGCAGGGTTGTGGGGCGGGGGCAGTGATCTGTCATATGCATGCATACTGGAGCTGTTGATTCCTGGTCATTAAAAAAAAAAAATCATTTCTGCACAAACCTGCTGTTCACATTTACATTAAACTATTGTGTGAACAACCCCTGAATTAATGAAATTAATGGAAACAATTGTCTCCAGCTATTAAAATGGTTTTGACATATCATTTAATTGCTACATAAATGTGTTTCTGAAATGCATTCCCTCTCTAGTTCTTCAAAGACCCTGAAAGGTATGTTTGCCTATTTCTCTGCTATGCAGAGATTTCATTGACAGCCCACAAACAGATGTTTCCCTTCTGTACTTCTGAGCTAATTCTGAGACCTCACCCTGCTTAGCATGAGTAATTTGGGTGATGCCCTTCAGTGTGCACACAGTGTTAAATTTACTGCCATCTGCCATCATACCATCCTCTTATTGAAATGTTTGTGCTCCCTCAAGTCATGCAGTCTTAACTCAAGTCAAGACACAGCCTTTCTAAACAGGAGCTCCTTTGGTATAATTATATAGAATCGGAGCTGAAAGGGATGCATTGGGTCAGACTTAAAAAAAATAATTAAGAAATTCTTTCCATGACAAACTGCCCATACCGAAGGGGCTAGGCAGTGGTAAGATCGGTCAGGCCTTGCTGTTGCCATCTCAGAAAATAAGCAAGCATTGTAAAACGTGTGCAAATAACAAAATACACATTTTTACAAATTTTGTGCAGATAACATCTATTTTGCATGCAGAATGATATTGCTAGAGGTAATTTGTTTTGTGGCAGGTTAAGAACAGCCCTGACCGTAGAATGTAATTCTACCATAAAATATGGCAAAATGCCATTGCTGAAAAGTAGGAAAGACTTGCAGAATCATAAATTCATTATTTACTAGTTTCTCTCAGTGTATCCTGCCACCCATGGCTGCTTTGAATTATATGAAGCGTTCTGCAGCTCACCTGTGTCCTTCAAATCTAAAACGGGGCAGGGCAAAATATTCTAGTAAAGCAGAACAGGGAATTTCCCTAAAAATATGATCAGCATTGGTAGTAATAGCAGGGTGGAAACTCTTGATGTCTAAATGACAGGTGTGTTATTTTGTTTATAACTGTAGTACTTTAAAAAATTCCAAAAAAAGCACCTGTTCAGTTTGAAATGGGCAGGATAATTTTAGATTTTCAACAATATCACATCTGGGATTATTAAAATACTTGAGAGATTTGGGGAGATGGTTAAATGGAGATCAATAGGGGACTGTGGGGAGGGCATAGGGTGCTTGGCTGGAGAAAATGAAGGCTGGAGATGACAACATTCAGCTCCCACTAGTGTTTTCTCAGGATGCTGTGGGCTTAATTTCAAATATATATATTTCAGCTGCAGTGCTCTTTGCATGGGATTGTCTGTGCACATTGCTCTAAAGTTCCTCTGGTGCAGAATACAGTTTGCTGCTTCATAGTTAGAACAGGAAGGTGAAGCACATAATGCTAATGCCTATATCTGATACTGAACTGGTTTGTTATTTTGGGACATATTTCAAGTTGCTAGTCATGATCAGTATACATTCCTAATGGGTTGAGCACAGCCTAACTTTGGAAATGCCTTTGTCCAAATGAACTCCACAGTTCCTTGAGATCTTCAGGGGACTATGCATCAGATTCAAGATTCTGCATATGCATGGTATGGTTAGAACATATATGAGTTTTCTTCATTTCTCAAATATAGAGAAAACGAGAGCAGTAATGTGCATGCTAGAGAAAACATCGAGAACACCTTTATTGTTATCAGACATTATACTGTTTAAAAGGGCTGGTGATGAGAACGGAAACTGCAAGTCTACAGAGTGTCCAGCTAGCTTAACCACATGTGAATAATATCCCCTGCTGTGGGCTTGCATCCTCCCTACCCTGAGCCTAAGTGGTTACAGACAAATATGCTGCCGTGCTATTTTTCCCCTAATTAAGGGATGGCTAAAATTGCATGCACAGTACAAATGAAAATTAAAATGCTGAAATTCGCAGGTTATGGACATTCTGGTAACTATCCCTGACACAGTTTGCAATATTCTGATAAACGTCTATTAGTGTTAGATAAAAACAACAAAGAACCTCTGGTGAGATCTTGGAAGCTGACAAATGTATTATGGCACAAACTTTCATGGAGTACATGCCACTCTATTAGATATGTGAAGTGTTATTCTGCGCCATGGAAATATAGACACATCATGGGGGAATTATTTATTCTGCGAACCACCCTGAGACCTGTGGGTATGGGGTGGTATATAAATTCAAAAAATAAAAATTCAATCAATAGACGAGGAGGACGCAAAGAGATGAAACACAGAAAGTTCTGAGAGTGGTATTTATATAAATAGTGGCCGTTTTATTTTTTTTAA